TTTCCACGTTAACCCTAAGCAACACTACAAGCTTCGTAGCAGGATCGGGTAGGACCTCTACGGCCCGCTCGATACCAAAGGAGGTTTCAGACAGGGTGACATTTTATCGTGTGATTTCTTCAAACTGATGCTGGGGAAAATATTACGAGCCGCAGAGCTGAATAGAGACGGTAAAATCTTCTATAAAACTTTACAGCTGCTGGCATACGCCGATGATACTGTCATCATTAATGGGCTCAACAACCGTGTCGTGAGTTCTGCTACTGCATAAGGAAGCGAATGATATGGATTTAATAGTTAAAGAGGGCAGAACGAAATATCTTCTGTCATCAAACAAACAATCATCGTGTTCGTAGATAATTCCATCTGTCTTGCAACCAGTATCACCAACAACAATGTCAGCTGGAAATCCAACGCAGAATAAACTTTGAAAGCATTCGATGAGTACCCGCCCGTGAAGCAGAAGAAGGATAAGATGTGCACTCCGTTGGAACAACCAGTTTGAGACGGACCTGGCTGAACTTGGTATCTTCAATTCGCGTCGAACAGCAAAAAAGAAAGTAAGAAATAAATGGCGCAGAAGAAGGAGAACATTTTCCATGTGACGAACGGTTAAATAATATATATAATATATATATAAGAATATGCGTCATCATAACTTGCTCAGTAAGTGCTTTTTTCCAAGTCTCGGATAGTCCAACACTAATTTAGAGTTTGTATCGTGCTCGAGCCTTGGGTTTCTATGGCTTCCTAACTGCCACTGTAAATGAAGATTTCTCTTCCTCATAATTCACTTTCAATGTGTTCTCTGCTACGGGAAATTCCCGCCTCGAATAGACCACGGTGTTTCGACAGTGTGTGGGGGGGTTCTAATGATGGGAAACGCAAGAAGGCTACCCCAACTGGAATAAAGAAGAATTTAAAATGTTTATTAATCAATTCTGAGTATTTTTTTTAAATCTTCTTGCTTTGTTTTTTACTCTGCTCGTGATCCAAAATCATTACCTAGCATGTTTTTCAAATCGATCTTCACAAGTAACGTAGTTCTGAGCGAATTTTTTCGGTTACGTCTAATGCCTGCTTCAAATTTCGGGTATGACTTTCGTGGATTTTATATCCATATGTTTTTTTCCCTCTTCAACTTGTCCACTCAACAATCTACAGTCGTCCATGCGCGTCGTTCCCGAAAGCAGCCTGAGTACCTTTCGGTTCGCTCCACTTGATGCAGTCAACCACCCAAGAAAACCTATTAAATTTGCTAAACTGTGACAGTCAAATAAGACGACTTCTCAATTTCTTAGAAAATGTACTTGTAGGTTTATAAATATGTATTAATATATGTATGTATACAGGCGGTGAAACTCAACTTGGCCTAAACCACGTCAAGGCTATACACACACCGCCGTTATTAGCCTTAGCATTTATCGTTCTTTCATACAAAATGTTTACATACTTACATACTTGACTACCACCCAATTAACCCATTTAATATTTTTTTTGTATTTATTTTTTTTTTTTTTTTGTATTTTGACAATAACAAATAATCGATAATTTGTTAATCCACACAGCACGTTTTATATGTATGTTCATATGTATATTTATTTATATTCAAGAACAGCTGCAAATGTTCTCAATGCATTTGAAATGCGAGCTTATCGGCTTAAGTGGCAACAAACACTTATTCACATACATATGTACATAAACGAATATGTGCACTGTACTTAGCGGTGTATATGACTTTATTTATTAAAGCACACATGCACTTTACTATACACATATGTAAATATGTATGTAAATATCTATGTAAATATGCCTAGTATCGCGTTCTGCATTAGAAGAGCGTAGCTAAGAAACTTTTATTTGCGCAGATAATCGCTGGACGATTAAAGCCGCACAGAAGTAGAGCGAATGAGCTTAAGTTTTATGATCGAAATTTGTGATGAATTTATTTATTTTTAGTATGCAAGTAAGCGGCGGATTTATTACAACCGCAGTTAGGTAAATAAGACGATGCAGTATTTTTTTTTTTTTGAAAATTTTAAATAAATTTTTGATAAAATTCAATGACCCAATTTGAAAACAACGGTTGACTAGGGGGTTTTTTAAGAAATATAAAAATAAAAATTTCAAATAAATAAATAAATATTAAAATTATTTAATGTAATATTAAAAGAATTGTTTTGTTTTAATACAGTGAAGAAAAGAAGTCTGCATACACCCGTTGATTGTACCATTTTAGGCTAATCTGTTGGGGAACAATAATCTAGTCATATAGACATAAAATTAAAAAATATATAATAAGAACATAAATAAGAACTTTATGTTTCTTTCAATACAACTCTAATAATTCCTGTGTGAAAACGTAATGATTAGTGTACAAATAGTCTACATACAAAAGCGGCAACTCTTGACATTAACAGGCTTATTCTGTTGAGGTAACAAAATTTATCTTGGTATTCAAATTTACCATTCAGTAAATTTTGTTACCATTTCGTATTCTGAGCTCACTGTCACCCTGTAAATTTTGTTACCAGCGAAATAGGAGGTAACAAAAATATCTGCTGTTTGATTTTGTGTTGTAAGTTTGAGAAAAAATAAACAACCAAAATGGGTAGGCATATATTAAGCCTGGAATTCATTGAAGATGAAGAAAAAAGAGCAAAAAGCCGTATTTAAAGAAGTTTTCGAGACCAAAAAATAGCTCTTTAATTTGTAAGATTACGTTTTCATTCAGTTTTTTTTGTTGTCCAGGCATATTTTCTAAAATTAGCTTCAAATATTTATGACTTAATAAACAAATTAATACAACTTTTTAATTTTTTTGTGCACCGTCTTCCATTTCGATGTGAATATTTTTCGTTTTAATTTATCAACTGGCAAATGTAATTTAACATGGACGAAAAAAGCAGTGCTGCCAAACTTTTTTCAAACATTGTAATCACTTCGCCAGAATACCAAATTCAATTTCGGGTGTTAAAGAAAAGCAACAAAATTTACTTTACCGGTAACAGTGAGAATAGGCCTTTAAAATGAAAAGTGAAACTAAAATAACCGTGTTTTTCATGATTTCTTCATTCTGGTTACTTCTGTTACGAGACTGCACATTATAATCTGAAGAATGGGGAATTGTAAGGAAACACAGTTACCTTTTATTTTTGCCTTAATTTGAAGGCTTTATTAGCCTTTGTTACTGTCAAGAGTATCGATTTTCATTGGCTTTTCTTAAGGCCAATTGTTCACCAGCCAAATCATTCACCACAGACAGTAGAAGATGGCAATCACTTAGGCATAGGAAGCTCTCAACCAAGCTCACGCAGCTTCTGGCGAGTCACTATTAAAGTATGTGGTCTGGCGTTGTACTGATAATAGCAAATTCCCTCCCGTTGACTGAAGCTTGGCAATTACTGTCTTCAGACGATCTAATTGCTCACAGTACAGGTCCGAACTCAGACTTTGTCCAGTTCATAGTGGATACCTTATTGCCCATCTCATCAAACACACCACAAGGCTTTCCTGGCCATTAATTTTATTTTGGAGATCATTTTTGCCGGCCCACTTTTTGTCACTAGTCAATATTCACTTTAGAAGTGATTCGAATTTGTTATAAATTAGCAGAGATGCGTAGACGGAAATTTGGTCCATTAGATTTCTTCGCGTTGATTCATGCGGGAACCATACATCAAGCTTCAAGTGGCTTCACATTATCTTTGGCTCTGGGCAATCGAAATATTGCTCGCGACGGGGTGTTTGATGTCCAGCTTTGACATGAACTCAAACACTACTGAGTTAGGGGATCAACACTTCTCTCACTATCTCACAAAGTATCTTGAAAAATTACAATAATACCAACAGTACTAAAAAGAAGAATAGATCTGACCGAACCAGTAAGCTTTCACGGTGAGTCGTCAAGTTCATTAAAAAAATCTGCACAGGACTGAAAATAAGTTCCTCAAAGTTAGCAAATCACATAGAAGAATCTTCGAATATTAATGTTCATTCAAGAACTATACGTAATGCATTGCAAGATCATGGATTTAGAAGCCTAGTATCACGAAAGGACCTCCCTCTCGTTACTGATAATAATCCATAAACTTTGACTTGGCTCTGCCAGAAAACACATCGTGACAAAGCATGGACTTTTAGAAACGAGTGTTTTTTACCGTCAAAAGCAAGTATAATATTTTCGGAAATGCTGGCTTGAAATCTGGAGTTTTGAGAAAACCAAATACAGCGCTTAATGTGAAGAATATTGCTTACCCTCTGCGAGTTGGGAGTTCGAGAATTTTCACGCGGTAAGGCATGACTGTCGTAAGATGCGACTTAAGTCCAAGAGGGCCCGTGACACTCCCGCAACATCCGCTAAAAAGTACTTTGGAGAATATTTATGTTGTTACCACAACAACAATAGGAATATTACTATCTCAACGGTCAAATATGGAGGTAGCAGCTGTAGGATTTAGAGTACCATGGCTTCAGCTGTAGTTGGACGTTTGGTTTTTATAGAGAAAACTATGAATCGCTATGTTTATAAAGACATATTGGACCAAAATTTTAAGGAAACTGTGGTTAGTTTTGGTCTTGAAGAGCAAATGATTTTACAAAAAAAAGACAATGATATAAAGCACATGACACACGTTGTTCGAGACTGGCTTCCAGACAGGTAATAAAACCCATTAAACATCTTTGGGACGTCAGTAGCAATGAAACACTAAAAACTGCACTTACTCCAGCTTGGGTCGATATTTCTTCTGAGAAAAATGAGAGTTTGCTGACTTCAATGACCCGGCGTCTGCAAGTGGTGATAAACGTCCAAGATTTAAAAAAAATGTTCAACCGAAAAATTTTCAAATTTTTGTATTAGCTAAAGAAGACTTTTCTTCTCTGAATTTTTTTATTTTGTTTGTTATTCTTGTGTAACTATTTCTTTCTATCACTTTAAATTTATATAAAAAATAAAAAAAATTTATTAACTAATTCCAATTCTTTTTTTTCCCTTTTAGAACGCTAGATATCAAAGAAGAGGATGATGATAAAGACGATATACAGGCATTTTCGCCACCAACGAATTATATAACAATATCTCAAGGGAAAATTCAGCTGGTACACCAACAACGATCACAGGAGAGTGATATTTCCGATGCGCAAAATAGAAAGGATCGGGTAAGTTTTTAAACAAAATCAAAAAAAATCAAAAATATTTATACATAATTAAAATAAAAATATTAATATATATTAATAACAATTAAAAGAAAAGATACAAATAGAAAACATAAAATAAATAACACCAGAAAATCAAAAAAAAAGTGCATAGATAGATTTGTTAAAGCAAATTTTCCCTCGATTAGGCCGGAAATCGCTTCAGCGGTTATAAAGCGCCAATTATCTATCTATCTACCTAAAGTAAACGTCCAGCTCGTACCAAAAATAAGCATTTTCATTAATTCTCCCATTTTATTCTTATAATTTTATTTTATTTTTTATTTCATAATTTAATATTTTTTCCAATTTTATTATTTTTCCCAAATAGTAATGATTGTGTTTTAATTTTAATTATTTTTTTCAATTTTATTATCTTTCCAAATTTATTATTTTTTCTTAATTTATATTTTTTTAAATTTTTTTCCAAATTTTTTTTTTTTCAAAATTTATTAACTTTTTTTGAATCTATTACTTTCAAAGTTTTATTATTTTTGTCATTTTATTATTTTTGTAATTTTATAATAATTTTATAATATTTTCAAATCCTTTTCTTTATTAAATTTTTCTTACTCTTCAAATTAATAAATTTCAAAATTTCACATTTTTATAAAATTACAAAAAAGAAAAATAAATATCTATGCACTTTTTTTTGATCCACTCATATACCGAAATATGTAAATTAATTTCATTCTATAAATAGTAGTAGCATTTTGTAATTTTGCCTTAAAAAGGTTTAATAATAATTAATTTATGTAATTACAGTTAATAACGGTAATTGTAGCTAATAACATCGAATAGGTGGTGCTTTTAAATTTACTTGTATATTGTTATTTATTTACATGTATGTATGTCTATTTATAAATAATTATTTTCAATGTTTTTAAAATTCCCAAATGCAAATTTCTTTGAATTATAGTAATTAAACGCTTAATGGTAATGGCTTTTTCTCTTGTGTGGTACATAATTCATAGATATTATATAATATATATATACATATGTTTGTGTTTATCAAAAGGTGTTGGATGTTGCATTATAAATAAATTCATTTACCATAATAATTAATAAATTAACAAAATAATAAAAAAAATATTTAAAAATTAATGCAAATAAAATATAATTTTGGGAAGGTGTTTCTCATATATGCAATATGTATGTAGCTATCACATCAGAAGTTCTTATTGTTCTTAGTTTGTTTGAAAAAGAATTCTGTAGTTTGTACATACTCGTACTCATACATCACATGCCAGAATCTATAGTTCTTTCTGCAAAATTTCTTACTTAATGATTAATTTATTTGCCAAAGACAATTGAGGAACTGTGGGAAAACCGGTAATTAAAAGCTGACAAATTTTGTTTCGGGAGAATTATAATTTTTTTCTTAGGAGAAGTCTAGTAGTAAAAACAAAATTTACGAGATTAGGATATATTTTTCAAATAAAAAAATCAACATTTGTTTGCGTTTATTCTTCTTTTAGGGATTTTCTTAAAGTCTAATGTTTTCGAAATATTCACCCGACAAATGATACTTGATTTATTTTACAAATACCATAATATTCCAGAGTGTTCCAGAACACTCGCGCAAAACTCGAAAATAATGTTAAAGTTTTCATGAAATCTAAGCGAAAGATGATGTCAATTTTTTACTTTTGTACAAACAAAACGATTTGCTGGCAAATGGACGATATGTCTAGCTCTTTTTTATATTGAAACTAGTAAAGTCTCTTGCAATATCAAATACAACGGGCAAATCGTACTTTGATATCAATCTGAATATAATAAATTATTACTTACTTTACTGGCGTAGACACCGATTACGCGATTATAGCCGATTTAACAACATTGCGTCATTCGTTTCTTCTTTTTTGCTGTTTGGTGCCAATTAGAAATACCAAGTATAGCCAGGTCCTTCTTTACCTGGTCTTTCCTCTTCCTCTGCTTCCAACCAATACCCGAAGTTGAAGAACTTTCAAAGCTGGAGTATTCGCATCCATCCGGACCACATGCCCCAGCTTGAGTAGCCGCTACCTTTTGATTCGCTGGACTACATCAATGTCGCCGTATTACTCGTACAGTTCATTGTCCCATGGTATACGGTATTCCCCGTTGCCAACCCGCAAAGGACCACAAATTTTACGCAAAACCTTTCTCTGGAAAACTGTTAACGCCGACTCATCAGATCTTGTCATCGTCCATGCTTCCGCACCATATAGCAGGACGGAAACGATGAGGAAGAAGACATTACTTTTCAATTACCTACTCAGTCCCAAGTAGCACATGGTGGCAAGAGTGATTTTGCGCTGGATTTAAAGGCTCACATTATTATTGGTATTAACGCTAGTTCCTAGATAGGGAAAATTATCTACGACTCCAAAGTTTTGACTATTAACAGTGACGTGGATGCCGAGTCGCGTATGCGATGACTGTTTGTTTGATGACAGGAAATATTTCGTATTCCTCTCATTCACTGCCCATTTGCTTCGCTTCCTTATCAAGTCTTGAGAAGGCAGAACTCACGGCGCGGTTGTTGAAGCCAATAATGTCAGCAGCTGTGCACTCGATACTTTTTCCAACTTCTTCATGGTCAGGTAATGGAATGTCTATTCCATCGTCATCGATTGGGGCGTCTTGTTTCACTCTTCATCTCCTCGTATCTATCTCATCCCGCACGTATTACGGTCAATCGCAAGGTTGCGAAGTAGACAGTCTGTTTTCTCTCCACTGCGACACGGCAGTCCTCATCGTACCAGCAGTTTACAGCTGTACGAAGGGAGTTTGCGCTGCCGTCACACTGGTCCCGTATACCGAGTATCTGATGAGTGCTCTCAGAGAGCAGGAGTGCAAGTCGGCAGTCTGTGGTGTGTGCAGCTTTTCAACGTCGAACTTTCCTTGTGTTTACAGAGGCGCATGCGTATCTTCGCTGCAACAAGATAATGGTCTGAGTCGAAGACGGGTCCTCGGAGTGTACGCACATCTAAAATACTTCCGTCTATCAAAACATGATCGATCTGGTTTTGTGTTTTTCGATCAGGGGACAGCCGAGAAGCTTGATGTATTTTTTTGTGCTGAAATCTAGTAATACAGACTATTTCGGCCCCCGGCGAAGTCGATCAGCCTCAAACCATTAGGGAATGTTTCGTTCTGAAGGCTAAATTGTCCATCAATCGTACCAAAGATACTTTCTTTGCCCACCCTGGCATTAAAGTCGCCAAGCACGATTTTCACGTCGTGTCGGGGGCAGCGCTCATAAGTATGCTCTAGGCGCTCATAAGAGGTATCTTTGGCCAAACCGATCTTCTCTTCCGTCGGAGTGTGGACGCAAATCAGCGATATGTTGAAAAACTTCGCTTTGATACGGATTGTGGTGAGACGCTCATCCACCGGGGTGAATGCCAGTACTCGACGTCGGAGTCTCTCCCCCACCACAAATCCAACACGAAATTTGCGCTCATTTACATGACCGCTGTAGTCACAAGAACTTACTCGCTTTCGTCCTTGTCCCGTCCATCGCACTTCTTGGACGACGGTGATGTCAGCCTTTATTCTTACGAGGAAATCAACCAGCTGGGCAGCGGCACCTTTCTAATTAGGTGACGGGGCGTGGCGGGTCCCAAACACAGCGCACAACCTCGCCAGACGTGTAAGTTTAAAGTTTTTTTTGCACATTTATATAGCGAACCGCTTGCTTCAAGGCCGACGCCCCCTCGCAGCCGCATCTCAGGTGAACTGACGCCGCAATTAGACTTCAGCAGACCCTTAAACCGAATAAGTCGGAGTGGCTCCACTGAAACTTCCTCTCTCATTAGCCGCGACCCAAGGCTCTATACAAAATTAAATAAAACAAAATTAAATTTAATGCGAAATGAAGTAAATGAAATTCAAATTAAAATATTACGTCATATTGTATAAGCAAAATAAAATAAAACAAAAAATTAAAATTATTAAATCAAGGCAGTTTCAGCTTAAGCATTTTGAAATATTACCCTCAAAGAATCTATCAAAATAAATTTCTTTTCGTTAAACGTTAAAAGTGAAGTGTACCGTTTTAAAATCTACGCAACGATAAGTTCTGTGCGGTTTTAACGTTTACGATTTAATTTCGTTTTGATAAAATGGCGCCGAAATCAAACGATCTCATTTCGTTAACTTAATGTTTTGTTGTTCGTTGCATTTGTTGAGGATCTCTGAATTAAATTTAATAAGGAGTAAATGGAAATAAACAAATTAAAGTGCAAAAATAACACAAAAATTATTAAAATAAAGTTTTTAGTTATAATAAAATTGAAAAAAAAAAAATACAAATTACAAAAATTAAAAAAAAAAAGAAAAAGAATGAACAAAATTTTTTTTATTGTTTCTTATTAAGGTTTTTTATTTTTTTACATTTTATTCCTTTTTTGAGCTTTTCATTTTTATTTTATTAGATTATTTACATTATTTTATCGGTGTACAACTTTGCTTCCGCCGGTTTCCGATAGGTGGCTGTACCGGCTGAGGCTGATTGAAATACATAGATGATAATGCCTTTAAAGTGAGTGTGGACAGTGGCTAACGAATTGTCATCGCCGTTTCAGTGGCAGTTGTTCTTGTTTTCGTATTATTCACGCTCGAAAATATCCGTTTATGTGCTTAATTCTCGCCATTTGCGGGAAGTTTTGCTTTTCTGTTACGATTCGAAAAAAATGCAGCTGAAGCGCATCGAATGCTCTCAGAAACTTACGGTGATGCTGCTCTGAGTGAAAGAACGTGTCGGGAGTGGTTTCAACGTTTTAAAATTGGTGATTTCGATGTCGATGACAAACATGGTGGTGGAAGAGAACAACTGAAGCATTGCTTGATAAAGATTCGTGCCAAACCCAAGAACAGCTTGCCGAATCGTTGGGGGTGAGTCAGCAAGCCATTTCAAAACGTCTCAAGGCCCTGGGCATGATTCAAAAAGAAGGAAACTGGGTACCGTATGAGTT